AAAAAAATTGTATTATTATCTGGGAGTTTGAAAATGAAGTGTTCATAATCAATCTCATTATCATTGTCTGTCGCCTTCTAGATGTGCTTATTAATTCCCATCCAACTTTAACACGTAATATGCTGAGAGCTTAAGGTTATCAACAAGAAATCATGGCATCTTTTGGTGGTGTACAAACATTTCAAGTGTGTATTCAAATCGGTCATTATCATATTTAAAGCTAACATCTTATTATGATTTTTATTTTAGTTTCATGGGCAGTAGTATCCTACCGGCCTGTGGTTTTGCACGCAATGAATTAAGTACATCTCTCCAATTAAACATTGGTCATTCAAGCTAGAGTAAGAGAGATTTTTCTAATTAATAATGGATGACATGAGTGTAATTAAACAACTAATATGATACATAGACCGAACGATTCAATAATATTTTCATTACAAAATTTTCAAATTATAATCAATTTCAAATTTTCTATTAATTAAGAACCACATAATCCTCCAATCAAAAATTTATTCAACCTATGCATAATGAATAGTTTATTTCTTTTTATGGGAAGCAACTGGATTGTGGATTAATTTAAATACATATCTCTATCTCTCGGATGTTTCGAATTAGGATAATAATATGCACACAGTGTTGTCTACTCTACAACTTTTAATTATTTACAATTTTCTCATGTCTACTTTTACAACTTTTAATTATTTACAATTTTTTCATGTGTTTAAAATTTAAATTAATGGATGCATAAATATGATAAAATTAAAAGAATTCCTTATTAAATGCAAGGTTATATGAAAATTAAGTTGTACTTAAACCATCTTCTTTGAAAAAAAAAAGTTAAAGGGTCTTTTTAAAGATACGAGTTAATAATATATTAGTTATATATACTTTTTTTTTCTTAATTTATATGAAAAATAAAAAATGTTAGTTTCATTTTCAACACCAATGTCACATTAATGTTTTTAGTTAAGCAATTAATAAAATTAATATTAAATTTTATTTTTTTTCATAATAATTAATAAAAAAAAATTTTAATATGTGCACTTAAGCTTTATAATGCTATATAATAAGATGAATTTATTACATTTTTTTAATAAATTTATATGAAAAATATAATTATTTATTTTGATTTAATTAATTCATTAAATAAAATTATTTGTGTTAATAATATTAAAATAAAAAGTCAACTTTTATATTTTTATATATAATTTAATTACAAAAAATATATCACCTTTAATGTGCTCTTAGGGTACAAATGTAGAATGATTGCACACTTAACTTTCTTCTTCCATATTTTACCATAGATTGTGAATTTATTTCCTTTTCTTAACCACTAGACAAACAAATGTAGAATGATTGCACACTTAACGTTCTTCTTCCATATTTTACCATAGATTGTGAATTGTTTCCTTTTCCTAACCACTAGCCAAACAAATGTAGGATGATTGCACACTTAACTTTCTTCTTCCATATTTTACCATAGATTGTGAATTTATTTCCTTTTCCTAACCACTAGACAAACAAAGGAGATCAAGAAGGTTTTCCATGTAACTGTGAGATAAGCTGCAGGTGATTCTTTTTGTCCACATACATCATTTTTTCAAAAGCAGCCACCAATACACTACTATTAGAAAATAATTGATTTTCCCATCACAAAGATTCTATTTTATTCTAGAAAATAAACTAACATCCCAAATTCATAATCATAAAAGGCAAAATATTTCATCATTATTGAAGAATATATATATGTATATAAACAATTTTTTTTTTCTCTTGAAACCTAATTTAAAAGTAACAATTCATGAGTTCCTACTTTTTCCATATACCCAACTTCATCTGATATCCTCTCTAATATTATTATCCTATATTGTTAAAAAAAAA